TATGTGGTTTCTTTTTTTTTTTTTTTTTTTCGAGACGGAGTTTCGCTCTTGTTACCCAGGCTGGAGTGCAATGGCGCGATCTCGGCTCACCACAACCTCCGCCTCCTGGGTTCAGGCAATTCTCCTGCCTCAGCCTCCCAAGTAGCTGGGATTACAAGCACGCGCCACCATGCCCAGCTCATTTTTTGTAGTTTTAGTAGAGACGGGGTTTCACCTGGTTGACCAGGATGGTCTCGATCTCTTGACCTCGTGATCCACCCGCCTCGGCCTCCCAAAGTGCTGGGATTACAAGCGTGAGCCACCGTGCCCGGCCCATATATGTGGTTTCTTATCCTGTAAATACTGTATTTTAAATCTATGTTTGGTCGTAGATGCAGAACCTACTGATATGGAGGCCCAAATGTATTTATTGAAAAAAATCCCACATATAAGTGGAACCAAGTAGTTCACACCCATGTTGTTCAAGAGTCAACTGTATTACACTACACAGCAACTTGGGTTCCCCTTCTGGAAATAGAAGCTGGTGGTTTTAGACTAGCTATCCCCCTGAGAACAACTAGAAAAGCTGGACAAAATATGAAAATATTCGAGTACACCCAAGAGCTCCCAAAACAGTAAGGGTTTTTAGGGGCCAAAAGCTGTAAGAAGAGTGAGCTCAGGTAAGGATGACATTTGGATCTGCATTTTTGTCAATTCCAAATCAGCAGGAGAGATCAAAAAGCTGTATGTTACTTTTAGCCAACTTACAGGGCTGTGGGAACAAAACTGAAATTCAGGGCCCACTGAGGAAAGGTCCTAGAATACACTTCAGTCTTAGATTGGGACTCCAAAGGTTTATAGTTCACAACCTATTTAATGGAGAGCAATAAATAGACACGCTCTCAAAAGAATAAAAGTCCAGTTTTGAATGATCGCTACCCGATCCAGGATTGCTGATGCCCCTAGCCTAGTCATTTGCCAAAAGCCAGCACAAATTTTCTCTGGAGAAGAAACCATCTAGAGCTTCAAATTACATCTATACTTTTACGATGGCATTGTGCCTTTCTCAATAAAAAATAACCAGGCATGTGAGGAGATAATAGAATAAGCTTCTAACCCCACCCCCACACACACACAAAAAAAGGATAATAGAAAGAGACCCATAGGGGACTACATAAAACAACAATGCTTGGTATGTCCAGAGAACTAAACAGTAATTTACAACATCTGTTATATTTCTTCATTTTTGCACAAATTGGGCTCTTATGTTTTTAAATATAGCAAGGAATTAATATGTTTTGCTATTTTAAAGAGTTGTATTTGAGGTTTGTTTGTTTGTTTTTTAAGGTAAGGTCTTGCTCTGTTGCCCAGGCTAGAGTGCAGTGGTACAATCATAGCTCACTGTAGCCTTGAACTTCTGGGCTCAAGCAATCCTCCTGCCTCAGTCTCACAAGTAGCTGGAACTATAAGTGCTCACCACCAAGCCTGACTAATTTTTAAAAAAAGGTTTTTTTCGGTAGAGACAAGATCTTACCATGTTGCCCAAGCTGGTCTCAAACTCCTGGGCTCAAGCAATCCTCCCGTCTCATCACCCCAAAGTGCTGGGATTACAGGCGTGAGCCGCAGCCACCCAGCCAAGCATTCTATTTTGTTAAACAAAAATTATACAAGGAATGTTAAAACTATGAGTGTTCCTAGGAGCTGTATCTTTTGATTGAATTAACCAATATCTAAGGAAGTTTGTTTCACTCTGTGGATCAGTACAAAACTGCTGCCTGAGGCAAACTACTGAGAGACAGGCAGGTAGTAGATAGGAGTAGGCTTAGAGGCAAATGCCATAGTTTAGATAGGCTGCTGCTTGGACTTAGCTACATATTCAAGATCATCTTCTCAATTATTCCAAACAAATTTTATTTCCTTTGGCTAGAGTTATATCCTAATTCTTATGTAAATTCTTGAACTTTTTATGTACTTTTTTTTTTTTTTTTTGCTGGTGTTGGACATATGGTTTTTGCTGGTGTTTGACATACAGACATTGATCAAACCAAATTTACTTGGTCTTGGAATCTTAGAAATATATGCCACTTTGTTTTTTATACTTAATATTCTGGCTTTGCCTCTAGCCGCAAACATCCCAGTCATTCAGGCTTACACTTAAGAGGAGCATTACTCAGTTATTGATGGGTTATACTGACACTAACACAAGATCAATGAGGCCTTTATAAGCTATTTAGAAAATAATCTTATCAGGCAGGAAAGGGATAGCAACAGTATCATCCTGGGAAATACTGCCATAAAACATTGCATGTTACCTCTAAATGTGTCTAATGAGTCATTAGCCACATACCATACTGTTACACAAAGGCATATATATAATATATAAATATAAAATATGAAAATCATAGTAGGACATACATTTTCCCTTCCCCACATTCTCAACTTCCATTTTATGCAATGTTTTTCTGTGTATTTTTAAAACATTCCATTTCAATATGGATAGTTCTATAAATTATTTGGAAGCAGAATTATGGGCTGTGTCTACACAAAAAATAAAGTAGTAATGTAAGAAGTCTATGATAAAGCTAAATTATATAAAGTACTGACATGTATTTACTTATGCTAGAAACAAACTCCTTTTTCTTATCCTACAGTTCTACAATGGAAACATGTTCTGATATCCTGGTAAATCATAACAAAAATCTGAGTGAGTTGTATTTTGTGCCATAATCAAAATACTTACATGAAAATGACAATTATTAGCTACACAAGTAGTGTTGTTTTACTTTCGATTCAGACTTGTTTGTCCAACTTTCTTCCGGTATCTCTACCTAAATGCCCCATGGGCATCTCAAACTTAACACCTACAGAATAAATCCCAGCTCTTCTCACCTTGATTCTCTTATCTACCCCAATCTCCTTTTCCTCACTTGTTCTCTGCCTAAGTACAAAGCACTACAATCCACTTAGTTACAAGCCCCAAAGCTTGCCTTCATCCTATTGAATGGCGTACAGTAGTGATGAAGAACACAGGCTCTGAAATCAGAGTGCTAAGGTTCAAATCCAGCCTTGCAACTTGTCATCTGTGTGACCTTGAGCAAATTGTTTAACCTCAACCAGACTTAGTTTTTTCATCTGTAAAACTGCACTTAAACGTGGGGCTAAAAAAGCTTGTTTCACTCTAAGCAATAGTACAAAACTGTTGCATAAGGAAAGCTACTTGGAGACCAGCAAGCGATAGGTAGGAGTGGTCTTAGATGCCAATGTCATTGTTTTTGTTTGTTTGCTTGTTTTCTGAGATGAAGTCTTGCTTTATGATCCAGGCTAGACTGCGGTAGCTCAGTCTCAGCTCATAGCAACCTCTGCCTCCCAAGTCCAAGCAATTCTCGTGCCTCAGCCTCCCAAGTAGCTGGGACTACAGGCATTCACCACCATGCCTGGCTAATTTTTTTTTTTGAGATGGTGTGTCACTCTGTTGCCCAGGCTGGAGTATAGTGGTGTGATCTTGGTTCACTGCAACCTCCGCCTCCCAGGTTCAAGCAATTCTCCTGTCTCAGCCTCTCAAGTAGCTGGGATTACAGGTGCCCACCACCAAGCCTGGCTAATTTTTGTATTTTTAGTAGAGACGGGGTTTCACCATGTTGGCCGGGCTAGTCTTAAACTCCTGACCTTACGTGATCCACTCTCCTCGGACTCGCAAAAAATGCTGGGATTATAGGTGTGAGTCACTGCACCCGGCCCCGGCCAATTTTTTAAAAATATATTTTCGTACAGACAGGGTTTCACCATGTTGTCCAGGCTGGTCTTGAACTCCTGGCCTCAGGCAATCCACCCACCTCAGCCTCCCAATGTGTTAGGATTACAGGCATGAGCCACCATGCCTGGCTCACAAATGTCATAGTGCACATGTGGGCTGCCTAGTGCATAGTGTCATAGCTGCTGCCTATCTAAACTATGTGTGAAAATCAAGGTCACATAGCTAACAAGTGGCAAGGCTGGATTTAAACCTTAGCAATCTGATTTCAGAGCCTGTGCTCTTCATCAGTACTGTGCCCCATTCAATAGGATGACTGTGAGATGTTGGGCTTGGTAACTGGGTGCATTGTAGAGCTTTGCACTTAAGCAGAGAACAAGTGAGGAAAACTTTTTATCCAGAATAAATGAAATAAGGACAGTATTCACACTACCACCAATGTCCAATTAATTTGAAGTTCTATTGATTCCACATCTTAGTACTTCTTTTTTCTGAACTCTCCTCTACAATTCTGATGTGCTTGGAAAAATGTTATATAGCATTATGCATGTCCTAAATGCCAATGAAAGACCAAGTATGACATATTTAGGCTACCCCTTTAAAGTACACAGAGAAATTGCCTTACTTAGTTTTCTAGGCAGGCTTTTTTTAAAGCGTATCAGATGGAGTTTGAAATAAATCCTGACATTAATTTGGGGCAATATCATTGAGCTCAAGAAAAGCCTTTCTTTAAAAATTCAGAATTGTAATTACCATCTACACTAGTGAAATATTATACATAATAAATATTTTATAAACTAGGAATATTCAGAAAGCTAATCTAGTATATTTTAACTCATAACCCTTATAAAATATGCATACAACTTTCATTTCATATATATTGCATCATCTAAGACAAATATAAGTAAAGTAATGTTTTAAAACTCTGAACTGGGCCAGGTGTGGTGGCTCATGCCTGTAATCCTAGTACTTTGGGAAACCAAGGAGGGTAGATCTCTTGAGGCCAGAAGTTCAAGACCAGCCTGGGCAACATGGCAAAACCCATGTCTATTAAAAATACAAAAAATTAGCTGGGCATGGTGGTGCATGCCTATAGTCCCAGCTACCCAGGTGGCGGAGGTGGGAGAATCACCTAAACCTGGGAAGTTGAGGCTGCAGTGAGCTATGTTTGCACTACAACACTCTAGCCTAAGCCATCAGAGTGACACCCTGTCTCAAAAACAAACAAACAAACTCTGAACTGAAAATTTAAGGTAATTATGATAGTTACATTTTTGATTTTGTAATGCCACATGACTTGTCTTCTCTGATCTTTGATATTGCCTTAGATGTGGAGGTAGCACTATCCTTTTCAAATTCCAACTGAAAATCAAATGTCAGGGGTATAGCCATAGTTGTTTTTCTTCCTTCATTCTGAAGCCTGTTTATCTGCAGCAAAGCCAAAGTGGAAAAAAAAATGAGTACTTTTCATATGAGGAAAATCTTAGGTGGAAAGACAAAAATTAATCTCACTTTATACACACACACGCACATACACACACATACACACACACAGAATTTAGGTGGTAGGCAATTCTTAAAAACAGATTGGGGTTTTGTGCACCAACTGCTTTTATGCCTTTGCTTTGTGACCTGAGCCATTCTTTTCCCATCTATAAAATGTGAGGGTAGGACTAGAAGATTATGAAGTCTCCCTCCTCACTCTAAAATAGAGAATTTAAGGAAAGACCTACATATTTATCAAATATAGATACAATACATAGAGTTCTTGGAACCACAGCAGGCATGTCTCTTCAGCCTGCTCCTCTTCCTGTAGCCACACACATGGTGAATCACACCAATCTTCCTCTAGTCGCATGAGCCAGAAATAGAGTGAAGAAAGCAATCAAAAGAGGACTTTGTTAACATCTTTATACAAATGGATTGAAGTAGAAAAAGGATCTTGCTAAAAGGTGAGAAAAGGAGCCAAAAGGTCTCAGAGCATAGCACAAAGGAATAAAGAGATGAAAACCCTGAAAGCAAAGTCAAAGGATATGGGGAGCTTCTGCTTCTGCCAATAGATTAAGCACTATGGGAATTAATCTGCTCTCAACAACTGGAAACTCAGACAAAATATATGAAAAAAACTGCCTTCAGCTATTAGAAAACAGAGTAGGACAGATCGCTGAAAGAAGGGAAACAAATGAGGTCGACCCTCCACTAGCCCAGCTTACTTCCTGGAGGCGGTTTCAAGGCTGAGGTTCAGGGAAGAGAAACCCATTGGATTGGGGGAACTCAAACCAAATCTTGTGGCCTTGATCTTGCTACAGTTCAGAGAAAGATTGCACCAGCAATCATACTCTTGGGCATTCACCTCAGAGAAATGGAATCTCATGTTTATATAAAAACCTGGATGCAAATGTCCATAGCAGCTTTATTTTATTTTTTAAGCAGCTTCATTTTTACTAGTAAAATTGTGAAAACAATCCAAAAGCCCCGCATTGGATGATTGGTTGAAACTTTCTTGGTACATGATTGGTTACATGTACCAATGATTGGTACATCTATATAATGGAATACTACTCAGTAATAAGGTTTTTATATTTTATATACGTTACCTTTTCAACCAGTATAATTATTTGCTTTTTACAAATTAGTTTATATAATATTGATGCATCATTAGCTGAAAAGTAAAATTATTCACATTTGAAATGTTAACCTGTTAATGATTAAATTAAATTGTAGTTTATACTTCACAAACCTTTGCTCTTCTGGCCAAGATTGTCTCTGCTTGCTTATCAAGGACATCTAACTTCTTTAAGATTTTTTCTGCCATTGTCAGTCGGTAAATCCCTATTTTAAAATAAGGAAGAAGAAGAACAAATCAATTCAAATTTAAACATATAACAATTTAGGCATAAGTTTTCGAAAGACCCACTTTTACATTACTGTTTTAGGTAAATAACAGAATTGTTTGGCTGGGCTCGGTGGCTCACGCCCTGTAATCCCAGCACTTTGGGAGGCCACGGCAGGCGGATCATGAGGTCAGGAGTTCAAGACCAGGCTGGCTAACATAGTGAAACCCCGTCTCTACTAAAAATACAAGAAATTAGCCAAGTGTGTGTCTGTAATCTCAGATACTTGGGAGGCTAAGGCAGGAGAATCACATGGACTGGGAGGCAGAGGTTGCAGTGAGCTGAAATCGAGCCATTGCACTCCAGGACTCCATCTCAAAAAAAAAAAAAAAAAAAATTGTTTAAATCATACAGTAAATCATAGAATTGTAAATGTGCCCAAGTTTTTTCAGTTGAAAGCCATATGATCAGAACTCCCAGATGTGTATAGGCCCCATGAATTTTTAAATTTATGATAAAGGTGAGGGGGAGAAAGTTCACTATTACCATATGAGAGCCATATGTGACTTATACTTAAAGCAAGACCAAGTGGCTTGACTTACGTCTATTTTATTTTTTAATTTTTTAAATTAAAAATCTATCAAGCTAGGCATATGACTTAATTTTTTTTTTCTTTTGAGACAGAGTCTTGCTCTGTTGCCTAGGCTGGAATGCAATGGTGTGATCTTGTCTCACTGCAACCTCTGCCTCCTGAATTCAAGCGATTTTCCTGCCTAAGCCTCCCGAGTAGCTGGGATTACAGGCTTGCACACCATGGCAAGCTAATTTTTGTATTTTTAGTAGAGATGGGGTTTCACCATGTTGGCCAGGGTGGTCTCAAACTCCTGACCTCAAGTGATCTGCCCTTCTCAGCCTCCCAAAGTGCTGGGATTACAGGCAGGAGCCATGGCACCCAGCCAGGAGTAGGACTTTAGCCATATCTATTTTCTTTTTGTCATGATATAATTTTAATGAAAGTAAATGCAAGAAACTCATATTTATATAATTAATTGCTTCAAATTAAATTGGTCAATGATCGAAGACTGTTAACAGCATGTAGTAGGCAATTAGTCACACGTAAGTAGCAGCAGCTAAGCTGGTTAGGTCCCATTGCCATAATAGTTGGTATTTTCTCATTAATTAATATTGCTAAAAGTCTCATCTGAGGTCAAGCAGTTCATATTAAGCTTAGGGAGCTGCATGAGACATTAGAACCTGGTCTAATTTACATCTTCAAATGAGAAAAACTGAAGGCCACAAAGTACCCTATCAGTAAAATATAAATAGCTAGGACAGAGTGGAGGCAAGAATCCAGAAATATCAACCCAAAGCTCCCTTTATTTTTTTATTTATTAAAAAATTTTTTGTAGATGGACCAGGCACAGTGGTTCATGCCTATAATCCCAGCACTATGAGAGGTCTGGGCGGGCATGTCACTTGAGGTCAGGAGTTCAAGGCCAGCCTGGCCAACATGGTGAAACTCCATCTGTACTGAAAATACAAAAATTAGTTGGGCATGGTGGCACATGCTTTTAATCCCAGCTACTTGGGAGGCTGAGGTAGCAGGATCACTTGAACCTAGGAGGTGGAGCTTGCAGTGAGCCGAGATGGTGCGCCACTGTACTCCAGCCTGAGTGACAGAGTAAGATTCAATCTCGAAAAAAAAAAAAAGTGCAGATGACCATGCAGTCAGTGTATTTTTGCTCAGTGAATTAAATGGGCTTCAGTGGCATTTAAGTGTAAAATTTATATGGTTAACAGAAAGTACTGAATCATCAATATTTTTAATGAACATTAATGTTAATACTAAGGTCTCTCTGGCTCAAAAAAGTCTATATTTTTCCTATATTGTATATTATTCCACCAACACCACATGGAGACAACAGTTCATAAAAAGAGAAAAATTAAAGATTCTATGCCAAAAGTTTACATTATTTTGTACTTGGGTTTTTTTAGCTTTTTTTTTTTTACTCTTTTTCCTTCACCACATATTGCCCTGAGTATGAATTCTTCATGTCTTGATAGTGACATCCCATCCCAGCATGCCTTCTATCACATCACCACATCCAGCCAGATTCTCCCTCCATCACATGATGTAGTCTGGTGTGATAAAGAAATTCCACAGAGATGCTGAGTGTGGTGGTGCATGCCTATAATCCCAGCTACTTGGGAGGCTGATGCAGGAGGATTGCTTGACCCTAGGAGTTTGAGACCACTCTGGACAACATAGCAAGACCCCATCTTAAAAAGAAAGAAAAAAAAAAGTAGCCGGGCACGGTAGCATGCATCTACAGTCTCAGCTGCTGGGGAGGCTGAGGTGGGTGGATCAAAGGTTCATTTAAGCCCAGGAGTTTGAGGCTGCAGTGAGCTATGATCATGCTGCTGCACCCCAGCCTGGGTGACAGAGCAAGACCGCATTTCTTTAAAAGAAAATTACACAGAGGAAATTCTGGGCCATGGGGGTGCCGGCAGATAGAATGTCTTGTGGCAAACCACACAACATCAGGTTGCATGCTGGGAAGCAGAGATCCAGGATTGTGAAAGCTGATTATATGAAATGGGTCACTCTTGTGGTACCTAACTAAAACACAGTGAGAAGCCAGGGTAAAGCGAAAGCACTCAAGGCACAAAACATTGCTCCAAAAAACGCAGTTCCTCTGGCAGCTGAAATTGACTGCTATAACCTAACCAGTAGTATCTAACAGCTACTGAAAAGACCTGTGGCAACTCTAAAGCAATTTTACCCTCAGCCTTCACTTACCAATCTTGTCAGTGCCTCAAAACCTTACTAGCGCCAATTTGTAACATTTCCTGGTTTTATAAAACCTCTAACCTTCTCTTTGTTCTTCAGATACTGAAGACCACTGCTCTGTGTGTGTGAGCTAATTCCAAATAAATATTTTGATTTTAGAGATTAATGTCTATATTTTATTTTACTTTGACAGGGTAAAGGTATTTGCACAATGTGAATGCTTATGACTCTCTGGGTTTCCCACAGGACAGCAGGGAACAGATTTTGAAAAAGAATATAGATTATGATTATGTGGGCATATTTTGTTTTCAGACCCAAGAACCATCCCTCTTGTAAAACTAAACTAAACTAAAACTCTCCGAGGAGTTTTAGCTTCTGTGTTTCCCTTAAACATAATATGAGTTCAAGGGGATGGAGAAGGCACCCATATTCCTCACCAAAGTTTATTTTACTGGAGACAAAGATTTCTATTTTTCAGCAAGACACAGGTAAATAACTGAAAGAATTAATGTATTAAAGTGAATGAGTTTCCCAGTTTGGGGAAGGTATAAACTACAAGAGAGCCAACTGAGACAATGCTACTGACTTGTGAAAAAGAACAGAAAGCAGGTCTTTTTTTTTTAAAATTCTTTTTTGTTTTTTGAGACGGAGTCTTGTTCTTGTTGCCCAAACTGGAGTGCAGTGGCACGATCTCAGCTCACAGCATCCTCTGCCTCCCAGCTTCAAGCGATTCTTCTGCCTCAGCCTCCTGAGTAGCTGGGATTACAGGCATGCACCACCATGCCTGGCTAATTTTGTATTTTTAATAGAGACAGGGTTTCTCCACATTGGTCAGGCTGGTCTCGAACTCCTGACCTCAGGAGATCTGGCTGCGTCAGCCTCCCAAAGTGCTGAGAAAGCAGGTCTTTTTTAGAGTAAGGTGTCCTACACCTCTCACTTTAGTCAACCCATCTTGAAGAACACATAGGACATTTTATGAGGCAAACTGTCATCCCATTATACACACACACACACACACATAAACATACACATACACACACACATGCACATGCACACACAGCTGTATTTTTCTATATACAGTTAGCTGTAGCATGAAAGAATTTTTATGTTTTTGCTTTAAAAATATTTTGCTCAGAGTAAATTATTTGGCTATGAATGATTTCTGGAAAATAATTGGCAGATCATGAACTTTTTTAGAGTGAGAAAAACTAACCAATTATTTTCAAGGGTCAACAAAAGTTTTATGAATACTAAATTTGACAGTTAATAAAATTGGCTGAATGTTAGTTTTGTAGTTTTAATTTCAAATTTTGAAGCCAATACATTTTTTTCAGTTTGCAAATACTTTTCTCCCATAGACCTTTGGCAATGTGCCAGTGGGGCCTAATGGATAAATGGCCCTGGGAAAAAGTGGAGGTGAGGGAACACTATGGATTAACTTGCTTGCTTTCATCATTATAGTTCGTAAGTTCATCAAGGGCCTATTTTGTATCTCCTCAAATAAATGCTGAGAGCAAAGAAACATCAGTACTAATATGAGGGTGTACTCCAACTACTTTGCATGAACTAACTATTAATCATTTAATGCAAAATGAATCAAGATGATATTAAATGGGCTGGGTGCAGTGGCTCACACCGGTAATCCCAGCATTCTGGGAGGCCGAGGCATGTGTGTCATCTGAGGTCAGGAGTTTGGGACCAGCATGGCCAACATGGTGAAACCCTGTCTCTACTAAAAATACAAAAAATTAGCCAGCCTATGTGGCACACCCCTGTGGTCCTGATTATTCGGGAGGCTGAGACGGGAGAATGGCTTGAACTTGGGAAGTGGTGGTTGCAGTGAGCCGAGATCACACCACTACACTCTAGCCTGGGCGACAGAGCGAGACTCTGTCAAAAAAAAAAAAAAAAAAAACAACTATATTAAATGTTCCTCAGTGTGATCTATGTTTATGTTCTTTATTATATCTTTTTAATTTTAATATATACTTTGGTGTTCCTACTTCATACTTCTTTCTGAATTCTCAATAATATATATGAGCATATATTATTATTTGATAATAAGCATTTATTTGTTCATTTGGTCACTGGCTACCTAAATGTATTACATGAAGACATTGTGCTAGGTATTCTATCAAATTTACTGAGAAAGTTGGCACCTGATAGACATTTTTCTTTGTGACCCCCATCTTCCTAGGCAAAAGAGATACCCTCTCCTATTTCACTAAGAAAATAGACCATCAAGTAAAAGCTTCTTCAGCTCCTACCTCTCATACCAAGGTGTTATTCATTCACATCCGTTCTGCACTTTAATTTTAACAGAGGTGTTGGCTCTCCCGACCAAAGCGAATCCCTCCTGATGTACTCTAAACTCCATTATCTTCAGTCTCCCGAAAGAATTATCTCTATTAGTTGTCACCTTTCTCCTATACCTTTTACCTCTTTTCTTCATGAATGTCTTCCTCTTAGCATGCTCAAATTTATTTGCAAAAGATAAAAAGTTCTTCTTCTGATCCTACTAGTTATCTCTCTCATCTTCTGAAGCATTCTACTTAGAGTTGGGGGAAGTGCGCTCATCTGGAATACAAGGTTCTGATGTGGTCACAATAGCTTAACTCATAGACTTTCAGGGGTGGAATGGATCAATGGTCTCTCACAGAATTCTATTAACAGTGGGGCAACATTAACATCAAGAAGACAGACCTTTCTTATCCTTGCTTTGATTTCCATTGCCATCATCCTTCTTCAGACCTTCAGGTTGTCATTTAGCCTCCTTTGGGTTACTGCACTATACACCCCCCTAGTTTGCCTGCCCCAAACCTTCCTCCTCATTCCTCAAATATTGATTCTTCAAAATGCCATCAGGCTGGGTATGGTGGCTCACACCTGTAATCCCAGCACTTTGGGAGGCCAAGGCAGGCAGATCACTTGAGGTCAGAAGTTCAAGACCAGCCTGGCCAACATGATGAAACCCCATCTCTACCTAAAAGCAAAACAAAACAACGGTCATGGTGATGCATGCCTGTAATCCTAGCTACATCACACTACTGCATTCCAGCCTGGGTGACAGAGCAAGACTCCTTTTCAAAAACAACAAGCAAACAAAATGCCATCAGAGCTGTCTTTCTTAAACCAGAAACTGATCAGCATCAGTTCCAGCCCACAAACCATGGCTTGCTCTCATAACCTGAAGAATGACACCCAAACTCTTCAGAAGACATATGAGACCAGTCAAGAAAAGATAATCCAGGATCTGACCCCTTTCTGTTCCACCACTTTCTACCATTCCTACTTCCTGGACATGTCCTTCCCTTTTCCCAAGCATGCCCCTCACTCATGCATTTCCTTCTACTCAGAATGTTCTCCCACATGTCTTTCAGTCAAAAGCCTACTCTTTTTTTCTTTTTGCCTGGTAAACAGAGGAATTTTATACAAATACAAAGTATTGCACCTTCAAAGCTATCACTCCAATAAGACACTAATTCAATTAAACAAATAATCTTTAAAAATATTTTAACAATGTACAAATATATTCACAACATAATCTGCTCATTAAGATTTCAACAAAGTTTATAGTACCTACAACAGAATTTACAGATGCCCACAATAGTTTGTATATTGGTTTAGTTTACAGTTACATCTATTGCTTTAAGAAATACCATTAATACAAATACATAGTTTACAATATCCCCAGTATAGCAAGAAAAAACATAGATTCAGAAAATAAAATCTTTTAGACATTTATTATGCCAAGTATGTAAATGATTATTCCTATTATGACATGAAAATAATGCTCTTTTAGTGGTAAAAGATAGATTGATAAGTTCAAGTTCCACTGAAGAGCTTTCAATCTAGCTATTCTTTCTGTAAAATAAATAGAACAGCAGCAATCTCTGTGTATTCCTTAAATAAACTATGATGATTCCATTTATATTAACTGGGCCTTAAGTAAATGACTTCTTACAAATAAAGATAAAATTTTAGAAAATAGTTACCACTCACCCTAATTATTTTCATTTGCTTGCATATGTCTAAGAAATTTCCCCATGAGGTACATATTAAAAACTAACGATTATTTCCAACTTATACATAAGCCAAAGTGCTCACTCTTACCATGGAAGCAAAACTTACTTCTGAAAATAATCTACAGAAATAATATGTAAACACACAGAGCTTTGAGACAGACTAAGAACATCCTCCTACGTTCTTTGGATCAAAATGCAAAGGTCTCCATTAGCTATGTAAATGAACACTTTCATTAACTTGGGATATATTGATATTACATGGCTGTGTTGTGCATACCTACGGAACATGTGCATACCCACACCACTGAACAAATCTTGACAATGTTTCTAGTGCCAACATATACTTCCTAGCCCCAACTGCTCGAAAGGAAATAAAAACCTAATATGAAAACTACATTCCCTTTTTATAAATAAAGTTTTTAAGTGGAAAAACAAAGCCAACACTCCTTGTGGCAACATGGACCAAGCTCCAAAAGGTTCAGAGTCAAGAATCTCTTCAGTTGTTCCCCAATGTAACAAAGCACGTAAGCTTTCTCTATTCAGGAAGTCTGATCACCTCCAGTGTTTTGTCTTAAAAACTGCTTTCCAAGATATGAAGTAGCCATGCTGGTCAAATTCTTTCTGCTGCCTACCTTACATCTGATATAACCATACAGGTTGGCACCTTGTAGCACCACACCCATGATAACCACCACTAACCACTTTACTCTGAAGAAGAGGGCACTAAAGGCAAATATCACCCACAGCACTGGACAGGCAGTAAGTCCCAACCAAAAGATTCTTGATTCAGCCTTGGACACAGTTTTATTCTCTTGAAAGTATTCCTTTCTAGATTCAAACACCCAATGGCTTTCATCTTCATCAACTTGTGATTCCAGCAAGGTAGGCCAATCATTAGTCTACCTGTGACATTCTTCACTGCCAAAAAGTAACATGACAACAAGATAATTGTCACCATACAGATAATAAAGCTGCTGCTGAGCAACTCACAGAGAAGATAGGTAACGATTGCACTGACTCGAAAGAAAAGTGGAAAAACGATGCTACTGTGAGATGTCGACCACCACCTGTAGATGTCTGGCCTGCAGATCCTGACTCAATGATGGATGAATGAAGGCACTCTTACACCATTACAGTGAAACAAGTGGGCTAGGGATGGCCCTGGGCTGCTTTCTGAGGGTGAAATGCAACCAATCAACCAAGACCCTCTGTCCATCCACATATTAATTCCGTCAAGATTTTACAATAGAGGTACTAAGTTAACACACTTGTGGTTAATTGATATGGTTAAAAAAGTGGTTATAGGAATGACAAAAAGCTTTAGGTTCCTGGCCCAGAGTAAACACTATTAACAGGTAACTCCCCTCTGATCTCCCACTGAGAGGACCATCCAACACAAAGTTTACATGAGTAAACAGTTAAGAGTAGAGACAAAGGGATGTGGGGTAAACAGACTTAACTGGGAGAGCCTCCTTCCTATTTTCTCCCTAATTTAATGGACCTGCTGCCTTCGGCCTGTCCCAATAAAACCTTTTGGCCTTCCAAAAGGTTTGAGACTAATCTGTAACTTTCCCTAATATATCTTTAACACTTTGCCAGCCACCCTAAGTGAATATCAACACTACTGGATGTCTGATTTTCTATTTTCTTGGTCTGTTAGTCATCTCCTCTTCCACATCAAACAGTGAAACATCTTCAGTGTCATCATTACTATACTTCTGCAATATCAAAAGCCTACTCTTTATCAAATATAGTATAAAGACTACTCTTCTATGAAACTTTACTTGGCATCCTCTCACTCCTTGTCTTGATGACAGTCTTTTATTTGTGTGCTCCTGGCCTCAAGCAACCCTCCAGCCTCAGCCTCCTGAGTAGCTGGGATTACAGGCAAGAACCACTATATCAGGTTTTAAGAGGTTTACTCGCTGGGTGCAGTGGCTCGCACCTGTAATACCAGCACTTTGGGAGGCTGAGGTGGGCGGATCATTTGAGGTCAGGAGTTTCAGAGCAGCCTGGCCAACATGGTGAAACCCTGTCTCTACTAAAAATAAAAAAATAAAAAAAAAATTAGTTGGGCATGGTGGCACACACCTGTAATCCCAGTTACTTTGGAGGCTGAGGCAGGAGAATAACTTGATCCCAGGTGGCGGACATTGCAGTGAGCCGAGATTGTGCTACTACACTCCAGCCTGGGTGACAGAGCGAGACTCCATCTCAAAAA